ATCTAGCCGGCGTTGAGCGCTGATTTTACGATTCTCAATCCTCATCTCTGTAGACCTGTAATTTTGAACCCAACCCAGAAGACGAGTGAAAATCATGAAAACCTTCCATTGGTCAGCCCGAAGACAAGGGGAATCTAACCCACGATCCGTATACCATTAAGGATATTTTACGTCAGCACTGTTGTTTGAGCAAGATGGGAGCAGAATTCGTATCAACTAGCCACCGCTGAGATTTGAATTTGACTTACCTTATAAATAGGCGTACTCTCTATCCTCTGGGTCACCGTGACTCATTGTTTTTTTTTTGTTTTTTTTAATTTCATACCGTTATTGAACAGTCGACTTAGTTTTGAGTTTAGGACTACCAATCTTATAAAATTTATCAAAAAACTCATTGTATAAAGAAAGGAAGAAAAAAAATTCTCAATACCAATTTAACTATTCAAGTGTTATTTCTTAATTAAATATAAAATATTTATTCAAAGAAAAAAAAATGGTTACAAAATATACTTTGTAATGAGAGAAAAGAAAATAGATGGTGGCAGAATTTAGTACAATAATTTTATTTAGAATTTCTGTATTGCTAAGTAAATAATGCGTGGAATGACATTATAAAACGTAGTGCCATGCTTTACTACTTCACAACAATACAGAAAATTCAGTAAAATTATACAGCCGAATTATTCTTCTACCATCCAAACCTTCCGCTTGCTTATTCCAAAAATAAAAAAAATGACGCAATGTAATATCAGAAAACATAAAGACTAGTATAACATAGCAATAAAACCAAAGCTAAATAATATTACGGCGAACGATAGATAATTTTAGTTTGCATAGAATATAACGTTATATAATGTTGAGAAAACAGCGACCTTTTGTATCTTTCTAATATTCTGAAGTTCCGTAAGACTTGTAGGGTTGACATAAGTATGATTTATTTTATTGCATTTTATTTTAATTTCTAAAATTTGCAACTCGGTGAGTGGCAATGCAATAATAGAATTAAGATTATTAAAAAAAGCTTCTTTCGTTGTGATAAAAATTGTATTCCATTTATTGATAATAAGCAAGCTGCAAATATGTAAATATAAGTTATTATATTAAACTGCCATTTGCTATCATAAGAAGTTTTCTATATATTGCTCTGTCTGCATACGACTTTACATAAGAGTGACCTATACAATGGCGCTTAGAGCTGATGGCGATAAAGAAAAAGACACAGATAGCTTACAGGAGTTACGCAAGTAAGTGTAAAAATTCCTCAAATTTGGATAGACATACTGGAAATATGGTTCTATCAAAGGTTAGATTATATTTGAGGGTGCCCCTTGGTTCTTGCCAAGTTGTGATCGCGGTTGAATGCCAAGCTAGACGGTGTTGTTTTATTTATGGGGACGTATATAGTTTTTTTGGAGAACCTAATGGTGATTCTGATTGGTTTAGATTTTAGCGTTATTTTTGAATGTTCAACGAGAGGTCGTTAGTTCTTCGTTGGATGTCGGCTGGTAGGGTTATATTTTGCCTCTGGTCCTGAAAATGACTTCGGTAAGTAAGATAAATTTTAAGTTTCTGTACGATTTGAATACTAGAATACTCCATTAATTTTCGTTTCGATTCAAAATGCATTTTTTTGGGTTTATTAATTTTGTTTATTTTGTGTTCCTTGCAATTTTATTAAGTTTTGACCGATGTTTTATTTTATTTTATAGCCGTCGTTGAACAGCCAACCCAATTTTACGGGTTTACGACTACTAATGTTCAAATCCGTAGCCTTGTAATTTTAAACCCAATCCAGAAGACAAGGGAACTCCTGGATCGAGTATTGGGAGAAATTTGCCTTCGTGGAGGATTTTTTGATGGAGATAACCCGTATTTGCGTTACATGGATAAGAAGACCACTGCAACCTCCTATGGTAAGCCCGATGACAAGGGACTCTAACCCATGATCCGTCTACCACTGAGGGTATTTCACGTCAGCACTGTTAGCCTGACGGCAAGGGGACTCTAATCCATGATCCGTCTACCACTGAGGATATTTCACGTCAGCACTGTGGTTGGTGCAAGCAGGAGGCGGAATTCGTATCGACCAACCATCGCCGGGTTCGAACCCCGGTTCACCTCGTTGGAAGGCGAACGCTCTATCCCCTGAGCTATCGAGGCTCTGCCAATGTTTTATCGAAATTTTCCACTGTTTTATTGAAATTTCATTATGTTTTGGCTGCCATTCCTGTTTGCACGGTGTTCCGCGTGAACAGGAATGGCGCCAAACAAAAATCACAAATTTCGCACCCTCAAGTATATTTTTACCAAAACTTCAACTTCCTCTTTATTAATCTCTGCAATGATTTCATTATAAACTCAGTTAAGGCAGGAGTTGTTAAAGCCAGTATATCATTCTCTAACTTTCCAGAAAATTTGAATCAAGTTAAAATCTAATCATAATAAAACCTTAAGATGATCTTTATAAAACCTAATCATTATGGATGGGTGATCGTGTAAAGCTAAGGGTGGTGGCGCTAGTGGTAAAATTGCTCTTTTAAGACTTCCGGGTTACTGCTTCCGATATATTTTTTCGCCGCAGATTGAAAAAACTCGCCATCATATAATTGCATCATATCTTTTGCAGTATTTCACATGTACCGAGTTCTTTCTTTCAGCCTTTAAACTTCAGCATTATCATATTAATATTATAATCATTAGAATATTTTCTAATTAAGCTAACTTAAAAAGATATTCTTAGCGACATTTTATTCTTAGCGACAGGGATAAAACACAAAACATGGCAAACCTTAAGAATTATTCACAATGAGATATTAACTTTCCAAAATTTTTTTTGGCCTTACGACCTCTAAGAATCAATACATTTCTGAAAGCTCTTATGAATGGTACAATTATGTTTAGATTTGAACCCAAATTACAATAACAAAACTGCATAGAATATTAGGCTTGTTCACGTATCGCCTCGTAGTCATAACATAAGGGGAGGGATACACCGGAAATTTTCTAAATTTCTTCCGGTTTAAGGACGTTTGTTATTGTTTACATTAGACCACCCATCCATAAAACCTTAAGATGATCTGACTAATATTACTTAAATAAAATCAGATATCTTTGTCTACCAAGCGTTAAATCTTCACAAGGGCATAGCAGAAGGCAAGATGACTCAATTTCGATTTCTAAGAAACCATAGAGTCAGCAAATCATTAAGTCCAACTCAGAAATACCTCTAAGAAATATCACTCAATCCAAGTGATTTTAAGATCAAATCTTAAAAGGGATGAATATGCAATCCTGTACTGATGCAGTTCAGCTATAACTGATCCAGTTGGGCTCAGTCTTGATATTGGTACGGTGCGGTACTTTTATATTTTCGTTGAACTAGAGCTACACAATGCGTTATTAGTAAAGGTCAGAAAAACATCCTTGAGAATGATCCGGAGACAACACACATTTGTTACATCCCGTTTTACAAGGAGGATACCCCCACACACCATCCATAAGCAGATCGTAATTTTGACGTGAATAAGAGTACGATTAATCTCCGAACCAGTACCCCTATAGGTATTGATAAATCATCAAAGGCCTTTGTGATCCCGACAGATTTAGCGCGTACAAGTCACCATTTAGTACAGTGGGAGTTTTTGGCCGGTGGGAATCAGAGTCATGATCTCTTGGAAATGTGCCCAATGCCCTTCCAGCCAGGTTTTCCCGGCTTTTATCAAGTTTGACATTAAAGAATTGAAGCACAGTTCAAGTCGAAGCGTTCGTTAGCCTCTTAAAAGGTAACTGTTGTTGTAGTTCATTTACGTCGCACTAGAACTGCGCAATAGGTTATTGGCGACGGTCTGGGAAACATCCCTGAGGATGATCCGAAGACATACCGTCAAAATTTTGATCCTCTTCAGAGTGCATGGCACCCCTGCGTAATTGTGATACGTGGATAGATATTTCATATGGCAAATATATTAGAAACTTGACGAAAGGATGCAGATTTTAATCAAGCGTACATTGAAATAGATGATGTTTTCAATGACTTGCTCTGTTTCCTGTTAGACAGTATACATCTGCATATTGCAGCTTATTTTGCGAGAGGATATTTTCAATCAGATAATTTTGTTTTTAATAAAAGAAATAAATTATCTAATTCCGGAGCTGAAATATTCTGTATTTCATTAGGTATTATAGAATTTAAGTAATTCTTATGAGTTTGAAGCGAAAATTTGTTTTATTTATACAGAGATGTATTGTTAAAAAGGGTGACATGCTTGCTAGACGTAGAAAGAACTCGCTTGTGGAAGTTTTGATTTGGCCTCTTTTTGCTTGTTTATTACTGTTTATTCTTGTTGAAAGCCGTGCACCATCATACGTTAGTGTTAGCATGTTATTGTTTGAGCAACGAGATGAAGTTCATTTTAAAAATTATTATTTAGGTTTAAATTTTGAAGTCGGTATATTGCTTACAAAGTAATAAGTGTTTTATAACGATTCTTTTTTTAAATGACAATTCTTACTTCTTGAAATGACAGGACTTCAAATAACGATTTTTATAGCAATTCTTTGGTTTCGGATTTTCTCAATATCAACGGATTCATTGATCTGGTCTGACCCCGTCAGACCAGATGGGAATTAGCAACAACAACAACAACATAACAATTCTTCTTTTAAATACAAATAATAACAATAATAGTAATAGTAACAAATACGCGTATACAAGAAATACTACTCAAGAGAATCTCAAAACACAATGATCACGTTGTGAGCCAACTGGTTTCAAAACACGCCAAAAACTGTAACTCGGAAGTATAGGTAGTCAAGCAGCGATCTTTAGTGTAGAAAATACCATCCATAGTGCAATCATGTCTTGTTGAAGTCTTAGAGGAGATATCTCCTACAAGGTTAAAGTCTAGAATTTACCTCACCAGTTACTTTTTAAAAACGTCACAAGATGGCAATAGCTAACTCAGTAGGAAGAAGCTTAATGCAAGCCAACTTAAAATCGTACATTTTGTTAAAAATTTTCTACTTATTGTTTTGCATTGAAAATTGGCAATAGCAAAACTTCACGAATGACTGACGTCCTTTGTCCCTTCTGCGACGCTGCGTCAAATTCTTTATTGAAGCACTCTACCGGTTATCCATTATTGATTTCTTGGAATTTAGTAAGTTTTAAGTTAACAAGTTTTATTAAATTGACGTATGTTTATGGTTTTTTGTTTCTATTAAGTTTAAAATTTTATTTGATTAATGTTGTCATTGTTTATAGATCTGATTTCAATTGCGCACATGTTCAATTGAAGCCTACCTGCCGGTTATTATTAATTGCACCATTTTGTAAGCAGTAGAGTATATAAAGATTTATATAATCACTAGTGTACTAATCTTACCACTGCCGATGTTTTTAAAATTTTTTGTTTATATCATTTATATGCCTATTTAGTGCTATTGTTTTTTTTTTAATATTAATGGAGTGATAAAATTTAAACTGTTGATGTTATATGTATTTTTTAGACTTTCTATCCTCTAATCAAATTATTGCTCCGATTTTTTGGAATGTAATTAATTTCAAAATTTTATTTATTTGTTAAAATATAATAATAATAAAAGTTGTCCATAACCACTCAAATAAACTTCTAATATTAAACATTTGTGGGCAATGAATTATTTGTTTTTTTATTTTTTTAAAAATATCTGAAGTGTTTAATTTTTTTTATAGTCGTTAACTAATTTTTTATAGTCTATAAGTCTGTCTGAAATACATGAAAATTGTCTATTAATATCAATATCTATTGAGTCAGTTTGATACATTAGTATTTCCTTGCTAAACTTGGTAAAGCTACAAGTTATAATTTAGTGCCAAATCTTTGTCATCTCACCTTTGTGGCTAAAATCTGAACATCTCATTTTTGAGAGTAGACGTAAGGCTGGTTTATGGCTCTTAGAGTTTTTAAACTAGTTTCTTGTTTTACAAAGACATGGCAGCTCTTGTGTTTGGGCTTACTTTTTCATTTGTTAAGTGGTTTTTAGCCTGATTATAGTAGAATTTAGGACTGGAAGTTACCTGTATTAATTGTCATTTAGTACTTTATTAAAGAATCTTATGCTGTTAACAAATTTTAGTAACTGATTTCTAATTTTGTAACACTTAAGTAAGCAAGTATGAAAGATCTTTTATCCTTCTAGGAATAGGATTTAAATGTGACTGAATAAAAGTGAACTGTTCTGTATGATATCGGCAGGGACTGATCAAGACAATATATGGCCCAAGGTCCACCAAATTTTCTGGGCCTTTGCAAAGTATTTTGAAATTAAATTACTGAAGAGTAGTCCTAATAATGAATAAGAATCTATTGAACTGCGTGATTCAAGAGAAACATTCTAAGAAATTTTGAAAGCAGACATTTGAAGTTTAATTTTCTAAGATAAAGCTTATGTATCTATAAATTAAAGCAAAATATAAAACAAGAAAATTATATTATGTCTAAATAAAAATACTTTGGTGACCACAATCAATTGAAATCAGTGACATTCGCTAAAAGTATTATTTTTTTATTGTAAGCTGTAATTTTTATTTAGTACTCAAACGAACACATAGCTATCCCACCATTCGTTAGACTTTTTACTAATTTTTTGTGGGCCCTAGGCCCATGCCTATTGGGCCTAGGCTATAATCAGGCCCAGGATATCGGATGAATTGGATAATTCCATACAGGGAGGGCCAATATCGGAAAATTAACTGCCTTGTACCCTTAGTGAGGCAAGATTCATGAATATTGGCCCAATGGGGAGCCCAAGTTATTTTACTGCAAGGGTTGATGTACCTATTGTTGACTTGATAAAATTAATCTATTAATAACTGTTGTAAGCTACAACTAGAGCTTCTGTTTATTTTGACACTTGTTTTGTTCCTTAAATTCAAAGTACAATTTATACTACAACTAAACTAAATATTTTTGATTTACCTGTTTTACAATAGAATGCTTATTTTTATTTCTAGCATTTGTTGTGAAATCCTGATGTTTTTTTAAATTCAATATTTAATTTCTTTCAGATTCTTTGGCTTAAAATAAAATACTTAAAATGGCTGCACCAGTAAGTTATATTTCTGAAATCTTTCTGAAATTTATGAGTGATGATTGAAGACAATTACCTTTGTAAAATAAACATATGATTGAACTTTTCTTCTAGGATGCTTTTGTGGATTTTAATGGCCTTAAAACAAATTTTTCTTAACTAAAGTTTTACTTTTGTAGAAAACAAAGATTTTCGTTGGTCACTTGCCAGATGGATGTTCGGATGAAGATCTTCGTCAGTTATTTCAGAAGTATGGCGAAGTCACTGAATGTGATGTTATCAACAAATATGGGTTTGTGGTAGGTATAAAAAAAATATTTTAATATGAAAAAACATAGAAGTATATCCATATAAGTAAATTTAATAATTTGAACATCTTTATTACTGTTCACTACAGAATAGTCACGGATGTAAATAGATGTCTAAGTGCGCATCTTAGGGACATACATTTATAATCAACTCTTTTTAAGAAGTTTTTTTTAAACATTTTTGTTTTGATCTGTTCGAAAGAAATAATTGAATATAAAAGGATTGAATATAACAAAAGAGTATCTATCACTTAAGATAGGAGTGCACAACCTTTTTGAGTGAAGGGCCACTTGCATAGCAGGCTGGCTAACGAAGGGCCGCAGATCTATTTAAACATGTTAATGACAAATGTAATAATGTTTATTTAAACATTAGCGTTCCATTTTTTTTATCAATAAACTTAGTAATATCATTAACTTAGTAGTGTTCCACTATTAGAATTCATTCAAAAATAAAGAAAACTTATACTTTTTTTTTTACAAAAAAAAAACATGCTATTTTTATCATATGAACAATAGATTTATCAAAATAATTAAACATTGAAGAAAAGAAATGTTTTTTTTCTTTTATCATATCGTGCAATACGAAAATTCATTTTAGAATTAAATTCTAATAAATAAAAAAAAACTGCAATGCCCACACATGAGTAGGAAAAAGTTTAGTCATAATTAAGTAATATAAATTCAAATTAAATATTTTAATTGAAGAAAATTTATAGGTTTTAAACAAAAGCCTAAAATAAAAACAAAACTGTGATAGTTCAAAATAAAATTCAATGCTTATTTTGTAATGTGCTTTATTATTTTATTTTATTAATTATTAGATTTTTTTT